TGCAAAATCCTGAGAACCACCATGACCACGACCCGCTGTTTCGTCAGCAATATCACAGTCTGTCTGCTGTTGCTCTGTCATGGATTTCGTCTTGTAATACTGGTGCTACCTCATCTTCTTGTATGTCCATTTGCTCCTCCAGCTCTATGTTGAACAGTGTGGTATCAACACTCGGATCTTCCTCAATATCATCTTAGCTTGATCACCTTTTCCATAGCTTAGTTTTACCAAATATTACATGTGGTTTATCTGTATATGGAGCAGCCGTTGCTGAATTAACTACCATGGCCTTTCTTGATCGCTGCTTTAAACATAAATATATATCCATCAGATTCGACATAAACAAGATCTTAGAACAACAGCACATTCGGCTCTATAAGAAGGCAGCCTCTACTGAAAGTCATCCGCTCTATAGTTTAATAGCCTAAATCAACTAGATATAACTTAAGATACTCTGCAGCAGCTAAACCTAAAATATATACTTTCAACAGATTACTATTTAAATATGATGTCAGTAAGTTGTGACTTTCACTTTTTTCTAACTTAAGAATGTAATTTAAGAAGTGTACGTTCTTCTTATCATCAATAAAGACACCCCATTTACCATTTGAGTTCCCCAGTTTTGTGGCTGGGATCTTGATTTCTCTTCTGAGGCATGCTGCCCAGCTGCCTTCCAGACATTCTTGTTCATGTTGAATAGTAGATGAACGGAAGTGGTGAAGTCGCGGACCTTGTTTTCTGAAACATGGTTCATCAGGGCCATCGAAAAACTCAATTCCACCATCAACCTCTTGCCACCATACTCCTTCACCAGGCTCAAGAAAGTCAGTTATCTGCTTGAGGTGAGCTTGCCAATCCCCAGCATACTTTTCTAGGTCGCTCTTCAGAATAAATGTATTCCCTAACTTCGGGAGAGCCTTTGCAATCTTACTTATCTCTCTTTCTTCCTTGAGGACATAGTTAAGCCCAGGTATACAGCTGTCCTGTTTCAGATGAAGGATAGCATTCTTTGGGAGGTGTTCTAATTCCTTGTTCCATGTTTTAGCGGTGATACTAGAGATCTTTTCAAAAAGTCTCTCAAACATTTCGGCAGAGTGTGTACTCCTTACAAAGAAAGTATAAAACCCTTGAAGAAAAACAAGTTCTTATAACATCAGGTCCTGCTGGAAAGAAAGACACATTTCATCCATTTAAAGATTTAAATATAAGTGAATTGAAAGAAGAGCTTAGAGAAAGAGGAAGATCTACAGTAGGATTAAGAAGGATTAAGAAAGGATCTAGAAAAGGATCTAGCAGAGCTACTTGGTGGAACAACAAGACTCCCTTCATTACTGCATAACAACGAGTCTGTCAAGAGTCTAAACTTGGAGATGTATGAAGTTTTATGTTTTAAGGCATTACACTGTGTTATGAACCACATAAAGAACATACTTACAGAACTCCCTCATCACATAACTGATATCGACACACTGATAAAGCTGAAGGAGATCCTGTCCATTCAACTAAGTAAAGACAAGCTGAGGAAAGACACTGATTTATGTCACAATTGCTTTATACCCATTGGCTTAACGTGAAATTAGACTCCTCCTTGTAACACTGTGTGAAATGGCTGAAATCTATTACAGTCAGGATGAGAAAAGGTCCCCAAAAATGATTCTTCGTCTTCACAACATCTGCTGGAGACATGCTATCCAATGCCGTAGAATTCTCACACCACCGAAGTCCCCCAAGTACCGCAAACTTTTTGGAATTTACTTCCACAGTTGCATAACTCCATATCATAACTAGAGTTGATGTTTCCATCACAGCCTGGGCAGCCATAATGGCCCCCATGCTGTGTCCCATCCTCCATTTCTGTGGCAGGATTGTCTCCATTCATGAACCTCATGATGGCATTTATTTCAATCCCAGACTCGGTTTTAATGGTGTTCTTCAATTCTTTTAAATCCTCGTGTCTTGTTGGAACAAATTGCATTTGATCCTCAGCTGTTGATCTACTCGCTCCAAGAATGTATACCTGTGGCTCTTCTATTGTAGCTTGTATGTCAATCTATTTTCCAGGAGGGAGTTCACTTGCTGTTAAATGTATAGCAGGGTCATAAAGTTCTTTAACACAAAACAACCATGATTTGCCACTGTTGAATGGTCATGCCATAGTAACCAATGTCTCTCACGCTGATGTATTTTTAATCGCTCATCTCTGACAGGTCCTCACTAATGGGCTCATTTATTTTTTCTAGCTCCATGATGATTTCTTCTTTTGAAGAGCTTTCATAAAAGCTGTCATCTTTGGTCCTTAGGAGGTCTTTGTTTCTGACAAGGGATTCAGCTCTAATTTGTTGAAGTGGGATTTTTCTTACAGAAACATTTGTTTTTTTTTTCTGAATGACCTCACCCTCAGTACATATGGCTAATTTTACAATTTCCTTTTCAACCACAGGGACCCCAACATCATACACTCCATCATCAATTAACTTCTTGATTGATGACCGGATATGCTCATTGGTGCGGGGAACTGGGATGAATATTTCTCCTTTCTGCTTCTTTAATACTCTGTGGACTCTTGTTTCAGTAAGTTGACAAGTTCATGTACATTATAAATTGGCTTTCATTAAAAAAAAATATTCATTTTTTCAGAAATTTCAACATGCTATTGAAAAATACACAAATGATTTATTGCAATGTTTTTGTCAGATCTTTTGACATGAGATTTAATGTGGTTATTTATTACGTTTGATATTACTAATAATTGCTCATGTTAGTAATTATGTAAATGGTGCCATTTACAGTAATATGTAGAAATTATGATCACCACCCCCCATAGTTTTAACCGGCAAATTCACGAAAAATTGCATACATTTTTAAAAGGCCATTAAAAGGCCATTTTTCAGTGTTAATATCTTATACAAAAAACCGTCACGTTCCTCGTTTTTAACAAGCAATCACCAACTATTTCCCTGGACATTTGATGAAAAAAATTAAATTTCGTCCAAGTCCGTGTCTTACAGCGACCTGTCAACAATGCCTTGTTTACACGCTTTGAAAAATCGGCGAATTTTGCCCAAATTTAAATAGCATTTTCTCAAAAGTGCCGCAGTTTTTTTCGAGATTTGTTTTATTTCGGAGGTATTTAGTTATTAATCTTTGGTTTTATGCAAACTCATGATTGGCAACTTTTATTGTTGTCATGTGGGAAGCGGTCAAAGTTCAGTCTGTTGGATTGCGTGACATAATTAAGTCAAGTCATCTTTTGGTAAATAAAACACATAAAACACCTGGAATCGACACGTGACAAAGTTGAAAGGCAGTAATATAGACAATATATGTTATATGGATGACGTCTTATATCTTATTAAATCAAAGAGAAAATTTTATAACGTAACATAAGTCACGCAATACGGGAGCCGAGTTTGACTTGAGAAAAGACTATTGCGAACACTGTTTACTTCTAATGTAAATAACCAAATCCTCCATAAACATCAATGACGGTTGCGAACTAAATAGATTGCTGTTTGAATCGATTTGGTACAGTTCCTGCACGGCGAAACCCAAATACTAATGTATACTTCGAGCTAGGAATAAGCCTAGCAGACAACAATTTTTCTTTTTTGTTGTGCAGTTATCACGTATGAATCAATATCGAACCAATTTCACACGGCTCGTGAATAGATCATTTAGTACGGCACAACGCATTTTAATATGTATAGATAATAAAAGCATCTACAATCAACCTGATCCATGAATATAGAATTTTCAATAAATTATACTAAAAAAACAAAAACATTAGTATTATCTATATTTCATTTCACATATCTCTACACGCACTTTCCCTCTACTAAATTTGAAAAAAATAATAATAACAATAAATAAAAAGAAGGAAAATAGAGATAGTGATAAACAGACACCTTTAAAACCAAAAAAAAGGTGAAAACTAACGACTTAGGGATTTTGAGTAGTAAGCTATGTTTGGCCAAAATCGTTTTCACCGAAGTCTAATATATCAGCCAAGCTTGAAATAATGTGCAAAATTCTAGATATGTTACAAGAGTTCAACTATCTTGAGCATGAACACTCCCGGATGTGCTCTTCAATTGGCAATGTATACGTCGTTTTTCTGTTCTTGTGTCCTTGAGGTGTTATTCCCACAGTGGTGCAAATTGCTTTCAGCTCATCTAATTTTAGGCTACCTAATGTGGTCTTCATCTCACAAAGATTCTTGCCATTTACCTCAATGGGATGCTCTGGCGTTTGAAGGTCTGCATAGACTGCAAGGCGAACATTTTGCAAGCCGACTTCTGATTCTAGGGCTTCGGCATCTTCCTCAGGCATATCTTCCATATCTTCATCTCCAGAAGACAAGCCAGCGATTTGCTGCTGTCTCAGCATAGCGCGAGATATTGAGAAGAAGCTCTTGATCGTCTGAGCGCTCTTCCATTCACTAGGTTGGAAAAGAAGCTTGCCATTTTCATCCTTCTTAACTTTCATCTCCTGAGACTGATAAGGGATCAACCTTTGAGCCACTACGCTTACGTTGAACTTTTCGATATTGCTTTACGTTGTCGCCAATCTGAGGTCTCTTGGAAGTTGTTTTGAGGGCCCACCCCATGCCGCTAACCTCGCGTGCTGTAGTTGAGGATGATGTCTCATCTTGCTGTGAAGCAGTAGCTACTCCTTCCATAGCAAGAGTACTTATACCAATAACACGCTCAGCCCACTTCAGTCGAATCTCATCATATGTCGAAACACACTCAAGTTCCTTGACGTGTCGACCAGAGTCCATGTGATCATCAGCCTCTCTTTGTGTTTTGAAAGTTAGCACACAAGAGATTTCATTACAATTAACTTGTCGTTACGATGGAGGGTAGGTGCCTAGAGCAAAGCAAGCGAAGGCAAGCAATTGGCAAGGCGGTAACCATGGCAACCTAGCCACGGGTCAACCTCCACTAATACTCTCCAAGCAGCCCATTTGTTGGTGCTTGGAGTTGGTAGTCCCGTGGCAGGGGGCCATGGGACTGACTGAACACCAAACACGTTCTCCAAGAGCCAACAATGGCACCTCCCAATCCCATCTGCTAGCAAACTAAGTAGCCAATAGGAAACCACGCATGTCATGGCAATGTGAAGGCAATGATAGGCAGCAAACAATTAAGTAGCAAAATAACAAAATAAGCCAACTTACCAAAGACTACGCAAGTTTACCAGATAACTTGAAGATTACTTCAGGTGGAGTTCTGATGTACTGCTTATAAGCCTCACTTTTCCAGCRGCCCAAAACCTGAATTAGGTGGTCAGGSATGCCCACTTGAGCAGCTGTAGTWGCAGCCCCAATCCGAAAACTGTGGCTTGAAAAATTACCTGGCACTCCTGCTGACTGGAGTATAGTCCTAAGGCGATCTGTGACCAGCTGCCTAGTAAGAGGCTGCCCATTTTCCAACAGGAAATGGGGGCCTGGGCCATTACCACGAMGAGATAAATAATCTAACATAGCTTGCACTGCGCACAATGAAGATGACCCGAGACCAACGTAAACATGACAGCCCTGGCGAAAGGGATCAGTCTTTGAGGTCTTGATGAACACTCGAAGGCACGTGGGAACCTCTGTAGAATTGACAGTTATATCTTGCACAGATAGGTGTATTTTSGAGTCAAATGATTTCAAGGAGGGACAGGTAAATTCAGCTGATCGAAGGAAACCAAAATAAGCCAGTAGGCATGCAGCCCAGAACATGCAATCATTGAATGATGAAAGAACCAAGCCAGAGCGTACTACCCTGAGGACCCCAGGGGTAACTGGGAGTCGGGGAACAGATGAGGCCACACCTTGAATTCGCTTGATGCCTTTTAGCACTCTTTGAAGCCGTAAGCAGTTTTGTAGGGGATCCCTGAAGCCTTGTTCGATATGTAGAGCACGAACTGCTGACAAATAAACTTTTATAGATGAGTGACGTAGAGATTCAGCTAGCATAGTTACGAGCAAGCACAGAGTCCATTCCTCTGCTGGGCAGGGGGCACCAGATGATAGCAGAAGTTGATAAACTTCTCTTGTGCTGTAGAATAGCACCGGCGGGTAGAATGGGMTAAACCTTYGGATAGATARACCAAGCACTGGTTACCTAGAGATCCAAAGTCAGGGAGGAGAGAAGCTGAGTTGGAATCGTTGCTGGGTATCGGTTGGCATTCGGCGCAAGAGAGCGGAAGACCTGCATGTGGAAACGAGAGAGAGCATCAGCTATACCATTATGAATTCCAGCCACATGTTCGKCCGAAAAAATAAAGCCAAAGCGAGCTGCTGCAAACAGAAGGCTGCGAACTAAAACCATAATATGTGGGTCTCTTGAGGTCCGGCTATTCAGAATTGCTACAACTGCTTCATTGTCCACCTTGAACAAAACATGTTGCCTTCTCCAACTGGGACCCCAAACATGTGCCGCAACTACGACTGGAAATAACTCCTTATAGGCAATAGAGAAAGGTTTGCTTTGGAGACCATCTGCCATTAAACCATTTAGAGTCAAGGTAAGCACCATAGCCAAGTGTCCCTGATGCATCTGACCCTACACAGACTGTAGGTGGAGGCAAGAGGTGTGGGAGTAGGAAGAAACTGATCCCATTCCACTGACTGAAAAAATCCAACCACCATTTCAAGTCTYTCTTGAATTCTGCATTTATGCGAATGGGGTGGTCGTCTTTTTGAAAGCACCGAAGGAGATTAATCATTCTCCGCATGAACGTGCAACCCCGGCCATACGACTTTACATGCGTGATGGAGAACACTTATCAATGACTCGAGTTGTTTCTTGCGACACCACTTGAGAGATGACCATGCTCTTAGAAGCTGCAGAGTTGCTGCAAACTTGTCCGCAGGGAGACAAAGAGTTTCGGCCATTGTGTCTATTTCGATGCCCAAGATTACCAGGCATGTGGCAGGTCCTACGCACTTGTCGGGGTGTAACGGAAAACCAAGTTGGGCTGTTTCGAAGGTAGCAATTGCCAACTTATTAGCACATGAGTTGGAGTTTGGCGGTCCAGCTAACACGAAGTCATCTAAATAATGTAGAATATCATCTATGCCATAGTTGGATCGTAGAATCCATTCCACTGCGTTAGCAATTGAATTAAAGATAAAAGGGGCTGACCGTAAGCCAAAGGGGAGAACAAGGTCTANGCCGCCGCCGGAGAACGTAAAGCCGAGACAGCCAATCCTTCCGAGCCTTGAGGAGCCGGAGGCAACGAGCCAGCAGTAGTCGAAACGGGCACCATGCTGTCCATGCTATTTCTGGTGAGGCGAGGCATTGGACCGGAACGCAAATCAAAAGGACGTACAAAGGCCAACAAAAGCAACAATAGCAGTCCAAAATTAATTCCTGAATGCTTGAATAGGTATACTTAAAAAATGAGCCTTGATCCAGGGCCACCTGCTTTACATTCAGTCAAAATTCATTCAGCAAAAAAACACCCAGCAATGCCAAAAACCACCCAGCAATGCCAAGCTACTAGCGATAACAGCCACGAGGCAAACTAAGGCAATTACGCATGCGCAAATCACACACCGCTGGCCAGCACTCCACTCAAGTTAACTTTGCTTAAATATTAACCACATGAAAAAWTCTCTGTTGATGTTCGGCGTAAGATACCATGTTCCCTTCGACGAGGCCCAAAAGGCTCGATAACCTTCAAACTAGTGAGCTCTTGTTGCTGAATACCAAGATCTTGGTTGGTCAGTAGTTTTCCAGAACCAACATTGTATGCCTTCCATACACGAACACCATTTTCTTCGTATTTGAAGTTGTACAAAAGGCTAATTTCTGGTATCTTGTTGCTTTCATCCAGATCTGAAGATGTATCTATTTCCACTACAGCAACACAACATCCTCTCAAACCGCCATGCGACTCAAGAGCTCTCTTCATTTCTTCTGTGGTTTCAACGTTATTATTTTCATTGACAAAGCGGCGTATATGGGCTTTCATGGGAGCTGTCTTGCGATCACATATATCCTTGCCATCTTGAGGGTCTGAGAAATCGTAGCGCAAGGGAATTACACCAGTGCGTTTTCCGATGTCAGGAAATTAGGATCATTTCGAAGCGATTCCCAAATATCTTCTTCTTGGCCAGGACTAATGACTGAGAGTGTGGCTGAGATTGTGGCTGAGATTGTTGGGTTGTAGAGATATCGGTCCAACTTGTATTTAGAGTGGAGACAAGAGGGCTTGAACGACCATCTTTGAGACGATTTAGACTATCATTCGAAGTTGTCTCTACTCCAGGTCCGGTGTTTGAATTGGCTTCAGATTCCTGGTATACTTGTGAAGATGTTGATGATTCGGCGACTTCTTCCACCTGAATGCCACTAGTGGATGGGACTTCAAGCACCTGTTTGTCATGCAAGCAAGGAAATGTATAAGATTACAGAAGACTCATTTGAAATATTATTGCTGCGTGTAATATAAAAATTATTATATTTCAAACGCACAGGCAACTTAATTTTTTTTTAAATGCAATATTATTTCTATAATTAAATTCATAAAAAATGACATGGAATAAAAAGACAATGCAAGTGTAATTCTGGAAAAATGTGCGTACGCTAGATGTTAGAGGCACGACATGTCTCAATTCAAGAACTAGAAGTCACAGTGATAGTGAATGTGTCTTAATACACATAATAGCCCCATATTGTGCGAATTTAAATTATTTACTGCATACACGCTGGGCTCACAGGCGCACGGATTCGGCGTTTTCAAAACGTGCCGATTTGGGACTCCTGTGTTGTTATTTTGTTGCTAAGCAATAAAACGATTCGATTTGCGAAAACACCACGAGGATCGCAAGAGGTGTTCACGTCATATGTACGAAAAATAAAGGTTATACTGTGTCTACTGAAATAAATTTCTGGATGCTGTCCGATCTTCGTGTATGTGAATTTTCGTCGCCGATGGCCGCCATTGAATAAGTTTTTTCGAAGTTTGTTTTCTCGGCATTTTGTACGTTTTGAGACAGTGACATTGTTTGTAAAATATTTTGTTTTATTGAGCCGATTCTAAAATCAGGGTTCGTGCTAGAATTTTATTCCAAAAATTAAGCACTTTTTAAGCACTTTTCAAGCACAAAAAAATGGTTTTCAAGGACTACATTTGTGACCCTCCATGGGAAAACCCGGCTTAATGAAAAAATCGTTTGAATGCATTTCAACGCATTTTCAATGCATTTAAATGCATTGCAATGGTTTTGTAACGTTGTAGAATGATCTCCCAACGATTGATGTAATTATAGATAACGTTATCCAAACGTTCTGAACGTTGTAATGCATTTCCACAACGTTGTAAATGTTATGCTAAACGTTATCAACGTTGTTATCAACGTTAGAAAGCATTGTGAAATACAATATCAGAGGTCAAGAATGCAAAATAAATATTGCACTCG